CCCCCCACCCCTACTTCCCACTTCCCAACCCAGGGTTGGAAGACCAGCTGAGCCAGCAGCCCAGCCTGGGAAACTGACATCCCAGCAAGACCCGCCTCTATCCGCCCCCCCACTCCCCAAGAGTTCAGCATCGCCCCCACCCCACCCCGCTCCCGCCCGGCCTCCGGTACTCCAGCCGCCCCGAACCCCTCGACCTCCGCGTGGAGCCTGCAGCCTTCCGGGGAAGATGGCGAGGGGGAGCCGCCACCGCCTCCTCCTGCTGCTCCTTCGCTACCTGGTGGTCGCCCTGGGCTGTAAGTTGCTCGGGTACCTCCTGCACCCCTCTCCCACCCCCACCCCCGGCTTGGATCAGTCTCTCTCCATCCCCCCATCTTTGTCCCCCCCTAGCCCACGACGCGGTGCTCCCCGACAGCTCCCCGCGTGGCTCGGGGCTGCGCTGGGTGTTTGGAGCGCAGTGGCGCGGGCTGGAGGGGCCGGGGGCCCGGGATCTCCTACATGGTCGTTTGCTTGTTTGGTCGTTCTAGTTCGAGAAAATCAAGGGCTCCCCACTTAGCGGACTCTCTCTCTCTGTCTCTCTTTCTCTGTCTCTCTGTCTCTCTCTGTCTGTATGTCTGTCTGTCTGTCTGTCTCTGTCTGTCTCTGTCTCTGTCTCTCTCTCTCTGCCTCTCTCTCTCTCTCTCTCTTTCTCTCTCGTAAAGTTGGGGGAAGTTTGAAAGACGCAGGGACGTGATGCGAATGCAAAGGTCGCCACCTACTCCTGAAGATGCGGAGAACTCTGGAAAGACGGCATCGCCCGGGGCCCGCGGGTGGAGAGGGGGCTGGGGGGGGCGGGCAGAGGGATTCTGGCTCCCCAGGGTCCCGAGTGAGCTGGGGACGCGCGGGGCACTCGTGAGGCCGGGCGGGGGTGGGGGGACGCTTGGGGCACTCGTGAGGCCGGGCGGGGGTGGGGGTGGGGGACAAGGTCGTGCTGTGGGGCCAAAATTGCTTTGCCCCCCTCCACCTGCACCCGGGACGCCGAGCTGGCCGGGTCGGGAGGGGGACAGCACAGCGGTGTCCCGAAGCCAGGCTGGCCAGAGGGTTTCCAGCAGGCTTTCCCCGCAGCCCAAACTCATGCCTTAACATGCGTTTCTTAGCGTTACACTTTTTTTTTTTTTTAAGAAAATGCAGGAGATTACAGTCTATCCTTCAATGACAAAGTCTCGACATCTGGCTTTTGCTTTTCCTTTCGTTTTTTTCTCCTCCCCCCCTTTTTGTTCTTCCTTTCCATCTCTCACACTTTTTCCCCCTCTAAAGTGACTTACTCTTGATATTTAGGTTCTGGTGATTTCATACTTATAAGACTTAACCTTCCAGCTGAACATCATCGGTCACAATGCCACGACTTTCCCTCACCTGCTCATGACACAAGTTATCACTGCTCAGGAGATGGGTGCAAGGGAGCAAGGGTCATAAAGGAATGTGCCAAATCAGAAAGGCAAAGTTCCCCAGTGAAATATTTAGGCGATTTTGAAACACTCATTGGCATCATTAGGCGCATTCTCTCTCTGAGCACACAGAAAGAAGCGAGTTCAGACTGACAGGCAGGCTGGGGGAATTGTAATAGAAACTGGTAAGGACAGTTGTGTGTGCATTGAAATCTCCTATTTCACATTTAAAAACAAACAACCTTGGCTTTACTGTAGGAAATTAATTTTCTCTGTTATTCCTGTTCTAGCCTCAAAATAGAAACAATGCATGGTTAAGTTCGAAGTTGAGACCAAGAAAACAGCCAGGAGGAAAACAAAAGCTTCCATGATGGGCCAATGCCGCTATTTCCAATCCTGATTCTTATAAAGGATTATTATTTTAGAAGCAGCTCCATATTGCTTCTGGGATGCCAAAAAGTCTAACATTGTCAGAATGTTTTCTCGTTTTCCTTTCCTCTTTAATATTAAAACATATTGTTTTAGTACTATTATTCTTGGATAAGATTTAAAATGTCAACCAATAGTAGAAATAATAGAGTCACATAGTATTGTACTAAATTAAGTTAAAAATTCATTTTTCAAACATTGCAAATGGAATATAGAGTGCACATAGTCCTCACGCCCAGTGTCCTCTATTTGTAGTACCTTATATTAGTATGGAACACTTGGCTCAGATTTTTCTCATTCTCACCTAATATCCTTTTCTGTTCCAAGAATCTATTCCATCCAGGATACCAGACTCTACTTGATTGTCTGGTCTCCCTGGACAACTCTGAATTGTGGCACCTTTCCAGATTTGTTTTGTTATCTTGGTACACTTAAAGAGCTCTGGCTAAGCATTTTGTAGACTATCCCTTAACTGATCCTTTACTGATGACGTGTGTGTGTGTGTGTGTGTGTGTATGTGTGTGTGTGTGTCTGTGTTTGTGTCTGTGTGTGTGTGTTGGCTGGGGGGGGGCAATCATGGAGGCAAAGTACCATTTTAATCCTTTCATATTGACTTACCACAATGGGTGTTAAAGCCTTGATCATGTGGCTGAGGTAGTGTATGTCAGCTTTGTCCACAGATCACCTCCCACACTCTGCCCTCATGTCCAGACTAGACTTGATAGAAGGAAAATGGGCAAAACCACTTGAAGATGGAATATCTCTGTGAATGATTTGGAATTCTTATGCATGGGAGAGCCACTCTTGCTTAGTTATCTGCTTAGTCACTTACTTTCATATCAGCATGGGCTCATACAATTTTATAATTTGGTTAATAATCCATTATTTACTTACTTTATTACTTTATTTTTTTGTGCCAGTCCTGGGGTTTGGCCTCAGGACCTGAATGCTGTCCCTGGGTTTTTGTGCTCAAGACCAGCACTCTACCACTTGAGCCACTTTTCTTTCAGCATTTTTTTGGGTGTTAACTGGAGATCGAGAATCTCATGGACTTTACCTGGGTTGCCTTAAAACTTCAATTCTCAGGTCTCAGCCTCCTGAGTACTGAGGATTACAGGGGTGAGTCCATGGTTCCTGGCCTATTTTAGTTACTAACGGCATTAGGTTTGTTATGTTGCGATTCCATGCTCATCTTTTCAGAATTCCTCTCAAATATTCTTTTCATCCCCAAACTATCATTTATAATTACAGTAGAGGGCTATTCCATTATTTGTACTATTGGTCAACACGTTAAATATTCTTATTAATCTAGGTTTTTTTTGTTAGTTATCCTGTCATTTTGAGTGTGAGTGCAGTATCTGTTGATATGTTGATATTTATTTTCTGCCAGCTTTTTTTTTTTTACTGTACCAAAATATCTGAGACAACTTACAAAAGGTCTGTTTTAGGGTACAGTTTGGGAGGTTGTGGTTCACAGTGAGCTGGTCTCATTTCTTTGGGGCCTGCAGTGCTGCAGCATACTATGATAGGAGGCATGGGCGGAACAGTAAAGTTCCTCATGTGACTGGGACACGAAAGAGAGAGAAAAGACTAAGTCCCACCGTGTGCTTCAAGGGCATGCCTAACAGCTGGAAGAACGCCCACTGTGTTCCACCTGTTCAAGGTTTTGCTACCTTCCTGTAGTGCTACAGGTTGGGGACCAGGCTTTTAGCACGTAGGGCTTGGGGGGACACTTAATTCAAACCATCACAATTAAATTGCATTTTTATTTCCTTCTCCACTGAGGAAGAAACTTCTCGAGCTTTGTTCACTCCCATTCTGTCCAGGGAGCAAAGTATCTGGTTGATAGCACATCTGAGCATCTAACTTGTTGGTTAGATTGTATCTTATTCCATCAGACTACTATAACAACAACAACAACAAACTGGTTAGATTATAAGCAATAAAAAATTGTTTCTCCAAGTTGTGGAGGATGGAAGTCCACCGGAAAGGAAAGAACAGTTTCAAGGTCTGAAGAGGTTCAATGTCTGAACCCACTTCGAGTTCATAAATGTCTCCTTTTCATTGCATCTTATGTAGTAGAAGGATTGGTGCAGCTCTTTGGGGCCTGTCTAAGAAGGGCACTAATCCCATTCTTGAGGACTCTACCCTCATGACCTAATCACCTCTCAACTCCCTACATCACAATACCATCCCATCAGTAATAGGGTTTCAACTTTTGAGAACATAAATTGATACAAGAAGTAAGGTAGAAAGACAAAACGTATGCATGGAATTAATGATTGCAATGTAAATCACTAAGCACCAGCTTCATGTTGAAGTTGGAGCTAAAGTGATAGCTCAAAATACTAAGGATGAGTATTCAGTGACAGCGGTAGGCTGTCATGATCTGGGCAAAGAGTTGAGCATGAGTGAAAGTAGTTCTGGCTGGTAGCAGCTAACATCTTCAGTTATGGACCAGAACACAAGCCAGATATTTGGCCTGACTCTAATCTCTCACAAATGGATCAGGACTGTAAGAGGAAAGAGAGGTCTTCTGGATCTTTTGTAAAAATCACAAAGTAGAAATGACGCAAAATAGCACCCCAGGAGACCAAAGCCAGGAAAATCCTGCCTTCTGTAAACATTATTAAGAACAAAGCACCATAGTCAATTTGCAGAATAGAACAGGTTCCAGCCTGGCAGAGTCTCAATTGTCTGATGTACATAAAGGTCAAAATGGGCTTGTTGGTAGGCCTGATAATCATTTTAACACTATGATAGAGGTTATGGGTTGTTGTTGTTGTTTTTTAAGTAATCCAAACAAAACTTTAGCCTGAAAAGAACAATGAGTGCTATGTGGCTGAGAATATCCTTTATCCTTCCACCTGAGGAGTAGAGGAAGAGGAGACCATGAGGGTTTACAGATGTTCACAGATGTTCATCACACATGCTCAGCCTTGGTATAGGTTATGTGTAAGACTATAGGAAAGAGTCTTTAATGAAAACTTCACTTCCTGTTTCATCACCAGAAACTTGTCCAGGTTGTGATTTAAAATAACATTTGTTTGCATCCCTTCATCTCATCATGACACATTAAGATATCCTGACTGCCAGGCTGATAGTTAGAGGAAGCTGAGAGAGAGGATGGAAAGAGAAATGGGAATCTGGATCAGGCACTTCTTTATGCAAAGGATGACAAAGAACTCTTAAAACTTAAGCACTGTTTTCGTGGATGGCCTTATTTGTCAAGAAGGCTGGAACTCAGATAACCCCACTAGATTTCTATCGCTTTAAAAACAAAAGGACAATCAGTACAATAGAAATGTATTACCTTGAGGTTCTGGAGGTCAGAAGTCTGAAATAGTCTCACTGGGCTAAAATCAAGCTATTGGGGCTTGTCCATCCAGCTTCTAGAGTCCACCCATTCCTTCATGGCCCATTCCTTCACCTTCAAAGCC